AAGACAAAAAAAAAAAAAAAAAAAAACCCACAAAGAAATTTTAAACTGCATTCAATAGTGTTATTGTTAGTCATAACAATGGCATTGTTATTTTGAAACTATGAAGTACATTCTGTAGGATAAACCAAATAATAATTTTTTTGTTTTTTTTTTTTTTTGTCTTTAGGATTTATCCCTCTAGGACTATACAAATTACTATGTTTTAAAGTTGCTTGAAAAAAGTTAGTGTTAGGTTTCACTTTTTTTTAAATAAAGGAATTGCTTTTTTGTTTGTTTTAATTTTTAACCATATATAAACTGTGAAACAAGATCTATTCAGAGAAAAATATTGTATATCCATACAATGGAATATTATTCAGCCTTAAAAAGGAATGAAATTCTGACACATGGTACAACATGAAGACATCATGCTAAGTGAAATAAACCAAACACAAAAGGACAAATATTGTATGATTCCACTTATATTATTGTTAACTTAACAATAGTTAAATTCGTAGAGACAGAAAGTAGAACACAGTGGTTACCAGGGAGGCCTGTTTAATTGATACAGTGTTTCAGTTTGGGAAGATGAAAATGTTTTGAAGATGGATAGTGGTGATAGTTGCACAACAACGTGAATGTACTTAATGCCACTGGGCCGTACACTTAAAAATGGTTACAATGGTAAATTTCATGTATATTTTACTACAAAATATATCTATATATTCAGAGAAGTCTAGTTTCTGTCCCTTTGCTCCTGCTCTTTCATCTCCACTATACAGGTAATCATTCTTTTTAGTTTTAGGTTTATCGTTCTGTTGTTCTTTTTTGAAATCATACACAAATATGTTTCTGCTTATTAAAAAAAGAGTATTCATAGTATTTGTATCTCACTCCTTTTCTTAAAAGTAGTGCTTCTGCGCCTTGTTTTTCTTTTATCCCTTATTGATTATAGTAGTATATAGAGATTTTTCTCGTTTCTTTTTTTACACAATCTGCTATTGGTAGACATGAGTTGTTTCCAATCTTTTGCTATTACAAACAGAACTGAAATGAATAGTCTTTTTACATGTTCTTTTGTATTTTTGTCATTGTATTTTTGGATAGATTCTTAGAAGTGGGCTTGCTGGGTCAGAGGATAGGTACATTTGTAATTTTGCTAGGTATTGCTGTAGTCCCCTCCATCGAGTTTGAACCATTTCACATCCCCACCAGCGATGTTTGGGAATACCTATTTTGCCATAGCCTCACCAGCAGAGTATGTTGTCAGAATGTGGGGTTTTTGCCAGTTTGATGTGTCAGAAACTATATCTTAATTTTAATTTGCATTTCTGCTATTACAGGGAGGTTGGATATCTTTTCACGTGTCTTAAGGGCCTTTGCCTTTCTTTTCTGTGACTGTTTCTATCTTTTGCCTATTCCTGTTCTATGGGGTTGGTGCTTTTTCTTCTTTGTATACAAGGGCAAGTTTAGGGCCTCACCTTTGACCTACTGAAGCAGAAACTTTGAGAAGGGGACCAGCAATCTATGTTTTAACATGTTCTCCAGATGATTCTCATGCATGATAGATAAGGTTGGAGAACCACTGTTCTAATCCATTCTCCCTCCCTCCCTTCTGAAATCCTCTAGTTATTGCCATGTCTAGTTAATCTGTCATTGGACTGTCCCACACACTTCTTTAGTTACAGTCATCTTTCATCTCCTGGGGTGCTCCTCTCTTGAAGATTCCTGCTGGTGGGCACTGTTACTTTTTGCTAGTCTTGTCATAATTCTAGATGACTTTAGTGTCCATGTAAGGATCCTTTGCAGTTCTTGGACCTCCTTTTCTCCAGTGGTTGTCTTCTTTCCTACCTTAGTCACTCCATGGCTGTGCTGCTAGGGCAGTGCTTCCCAAACTTTATCTTGTCCAGAGTTTAATGGGAATGTCTCTGGTGTTTTACTGTTAAATATAGTAGATGCTGTTGGCTTCATATTAATATGTACTGTTTATTATTTTTTAAAAGGTTTCTTTGTATATTTGAGAATTTTTTTGGAGAACATAACTTTTGACCCTAAGTTGCTGTGAAATGGGAATGGTAATAATGCCTGGCCTGCCATAGGGCTGTTGGGAGAATCAGAAAACCTTATACTGTAGGGCCTATTGGAATACCAGGTATTTTTATTGATTTTCCATGGTGTGTAGGCAGCAGCTTCCTGGATCTGTCCGATTATTAGAGAAAATTACTCAAAGCTCATGCTCATTTAATGGTAAATCATTCATATGTATCATGATGATCAGTTATCAGGTTAGCTGTATACTAGGCACAAGCATAGAATATAGAGCTAGAAGAAGCCTGGTTCTCTAATGCTATACAAGGAGAGGAAAACGGGGACTTGCTTTGCTGAATGACAGCGCCAAGACCAAATACAGCTGTCTTGCTTCCCTGTGTAGTCTTTACCTTGTAGGTTTGTGTACATTAGGCAACTTCTTTGAGGGTTATACTGATGATAATGCAGCATGCCTTTATGATTCACAGCAACCTTGTGAGGAACCATGAGGAATCCCATAGTTTGTGCAATTGTTGTCATTAGAGTATTTTCTGAGAAAGCTGGTGCATTAGCTGTTAACCTTTGGACCTGGCAGAAGCAATACAAATGATTCAGAAATGAGTTTGATGATTTAGAACCACTCAGTATTTTTACAAATAGTAACAGTGGTTAACTAACATTCAGTGAATGTTCTGTAAGCATTATTTAATCCCCATAGCGACTCTGTGTGATGAATACTTTCATCCTTCCCATTTTGCTAATGGGAAAATGGAATCGTTAGTGGGACTGAGGAAGTGCTGGATTGCTGAGTGGTAAGTACTGGAGCTAGGATTTGAACCCAGGATGTCTGGTTCCAGATCCTAGGCCATTCACCAATACACAGTGCTGCTGCTTATAGGAAATAGCCTGGTAACATGACATTCAGTCTCACATGATTCCTGTGCCCAAATGTGTGCTCAGCTTAGCTGAGACTGAAAATTATCACTACGTGGCAGAAGCACTATATAATTTAGTGGTTTTTACAATCTAATGATTTATGATAGCACAGATTTTTCAAAGTAAGTCCTTACCTTGTATAGACTCAGCCAATTTTTAGTAAAACTGCATGATTCTATTTACACTTCCAAAACCTTTTTTATGATCAATATTAAAAAGAAATTAGAATCTCTTTAGTCTGCGTACATCTGGAATGAAAGTCTTCCTCAAATGAAATAGGACCTGAAGCCCCTTTTATATATTGGATAATGAGAGCGACATGAGCAGGGCTTGTCTTAGTTTAGAATTACCAGCGATATTTGGTAGTGATTAGAATATGTAAAAACTTCTCTGCCAGGGGTTTATGCCACTCTTAGAATCATGCAGCCTGTGGGAGAGATTCCTGTTAATCCTGTTTTCACATGCTATTGGAATTGGTTGGGTTTAACACTATAAATACTTTCCTTTTCTCTTTCAACAGTGCATGACTCCTGATCAGCTGATGACATTATGCAAAGCAGGCATTCATAGTAGTAATGTCGGAGTTAGAGTGAATGTTGTCAGTATTTTAGGAATCACTGGCAGCGTCCTAGCCAAAGAAGATGGTACACTTGAAATTCTTAAGGTAAAACAATTTGATTCCATTACCCAAAATGTTAAATAATTAGAAATGGGGAAAAGTAACTGTTGTATTTTTAAAAACTTGTGTGGACATGGTGAGAAGAAATATGGAGAATTTGCTTATTAAGTTATATTATTAGAATATACCCTTTGGGGGCCGAGCCTGTGGCGCACTCAGGAGAGTGCGGCGCTGGGAGCGCAGCAGCGCTTCCGCCACGGGTTTGGATCCTACATAGGGATGGCCTGCTGGTGCGCTCACTGGCTGAGCATGGTGCAGCCGGTCTCAAAAAGGACAAAAAAAAAAAGAATATACCCTTTGGATTGATCTAACTACATGTTTTAGATAAGTGCTTAAAAAGTTGAGCCACATTTTGTCATTTAACTTTACCCCAGAGATCATATATCAAAAATAAATTTATATTGGGCCGACCCTGTGGCTCACTCAGGAGAGTGCGGCACTGGGAGCGCCGAGGCCGCAGGTTCGGATCCTATATAAGAATGGCCGGTGTGCTCACTGGCTGAGGGCGGTGCGGGCAACACCAAGCCAAGGGTTACAATCCCCTTACCGGTCACAAACAAAAAATAATAATAAATAAATAAATAAATAAATTTATCTTTAGTGAAAGACTAAATTAAGACTTTTTAAAGATGCCTTTGCTGTTGCATAAAATATATGCATATTGTATTCTACTGATGAAGGAACAATCCACCCCACGTTTCCTTGTATATCAGGTAAGGTGCATTCTGAAAATATCAGAGAGTTAATTCTTTTTTTTTTTTTTTGTCTTTTGTCTTTTTTTCCATGTCCGGCAACGGATCACAACCCTCAGTGTTGCCCCCATACCGGACCGGGGACCGGCAACGGGATCGCAAGCCTCGGTGTTGCTCCCGTACCGGGCCGGGACCAGCAACGGGATCGCAACCCTCG